TAGGGCTTAGGGCTTGGGGTTTTGAGGGTTCTGCTCTACTTGGGGGAGACCATCACTTCGAACAACCCCCCCACATGATCGCATGCTGCTAGGCGAGGGTCCTCTTGAAGGGCATGGGGCACTCGAAGTCTCGATCATCGTAGACTTCCAAGAAGAGATCTTCAAACTTGAAAGGACCCAAAACGACAGGTCCGCGGAGACCAGGACACTTCATGTCCGGTCCCAAAACTCATGCAACTGAAGCCACTTCAGGTATTGCTGATGATAAAAATCCTGCATTCCCTTAAGGGCCCTAAACTATGGGAATTGTGGTATATTCCTTACTATGGGTAACCTAAACCCTAAACCCTAAACCCTAAACCCTAAACCGAGAATTTATACCATCAACCGTATCACTTCGCCGGCTCGGTCGAGAGGCGGTATAAATCAATCGGCGACAGCGTGATGCCCAAAGTCTCCGCCTGCATCTTGTGAAGCGGGGTTTGGAGTCTTAAGGTTGGGTTTAGGGTTTAGGGTTTAGGGTCTAGGGTTTAGGGTATAGGGTATTTAGGGTTGAGGGTTCAGGGTGTAGGGCGTAAGTCTCAGCCTGCTTCTTGTGGAAGAAGTAGGCCACTCGCTGCTCCGAGATGCCATCCAGCGGGAGGATTACGTCACAGGAGCTTTTTCGGTGCTGCACAAAGCACCCCAACTCCTGAAGGCATAAACCCCCAAACCCTAAACCCCAAAATTCTAAATCCACAAAGCACCCCAACTCCTGAAGGCATAAACCCCTAAACCCTACACCCTAAATCCACAAAGCACCCCAACTCCTGAAGGCATAAACCCCCAAACCCTAAACCCCAAAATTCTAAATCCACAAAGCACCCCAACTCCTGAAGGCATAAACCCCTAAACCCTACACCCTAAATCCACAAAGCGCCCCAACTCCTGAAGGCAATCTGTGAGAGGCCCACCGTCGGGGTTGTGAGAGAACCAGCACTCGACGTCTTCTTCGGCCTCTGAGAGACTCAATCGCAGGTCTTCCTGGGCTTGTCTTAAAGCACGAAGCTTAAGCCAATATAGCGCAAAAAATCCAGCTATCCATACGTCTATGTGCAAATACACAATGCATATGTATATATATATATATATATATGTACATAAGCTCTTCGACGAACGCCGAGCTTCATACTCGTGGATGACGTTGTGAGCCTTGATAGCGGCTTGGATGAGCACCGGCGACCCGAAGAACATGCCCGCAACCAAGAAGAGACAGACCATTCCCAGCACGACAAATCCTGAAGGATGTCTCGAATCTCAGCATGAAAACACAGCAGCTGGGAATCTCTAAGCCCTAAACCCTACACGTCCCTAAACCCTAAACCCTAAACCCTACACGTCCCTAAACCCTAAACCCTAAACCCTACAGGTCCCTAAACCCTAAGCCTGCCGGAGTCTTCGGGGTGGCCATGAAACGCAGGGCCGACGCCACGGCGAAAAAGCACCCCATTATAAAGCACAAGAAGGGCATGCGCGACATGAACCCGATATTCTTCAGGTAGACATGACAGCCCATCTCGGTCTGCACCTCTCCCACACAAAGAAGCATGACGACTGTCATGATAGTCGAAAAGAGGTATCCTGCGAAGCCAATCACGTAGAAAACCAGGACAAAGTCATTCAACGTAGGAGACGCCGCATACACCGAGGCCTCACCAATCTGTTGGCCAATGTAGCTGTCCAAGAAGATGAAACCACTTCCAGGGTAATCCTCTTCGTCTTCTTTACTGTAAGGAAACACTCTATGTCGGTTTAAAACTGCGACGCTCACATCTCCTGTCAAATCCCCAAATCCCTTCTTTTTAATGCCTCCTCGAGCCAATCGTTGACGTGATCATACGCCATGGGGAGGATCATGGTAAGCATCAAGGCGCCTGATCCCCTAAACCCTAAACCCTAAACCCCTAAACCCTGAACTTTAAACCCTTAACCTTAAACCCTAAACTCCAAGCATCAAGGCGCTGATCAGGCCCATGTTCGTGCACTCATTGATCAGGTTGTCCCTGGCACCTTGAACCACCCCTTTGGTTTCCTCGGCTGGCGTATGCGTAGGGTTTAGGGCTTAGGGCCCTCTATAAGTTTTCTGGGCACACACCCAACTCTCTTAAGCCTCGAAGCCCTCAGCTTCCTAAACTGCTTGATACAGAGAGCCCAATACCCCTTAAATAAGGAATATACCTTAAATTATAGGGGGCCTTACTATGATGATTGAAGGTACATTCCTTAATTAAGGGGTATTGGGCTCTCTGGGGATACAGTAAAGGGAGTGTCGTCGCTTTTGATCATGGAGTCGGCCAGGACGAGGAAGCCTCCCGTATTCGCAGACCACATGGAGGCAAAGTAGCCCTCACTGGCCTTCTTATTCCTCGGCGAATCGAATAACTTTAGGGTTCAGGCAGGTTCAGGGCTTAGGAGGACATATTGGCTCCTTCCGTGAAGTGTGTAAGTACCTTATGATTCTTATGATTATACTACAAGAACAACATGCTCAAGAAACCCCTAAACCCCAAATAGAACCCTTAAAGGAACCCGAAAGGAACCATTCACGGAACCCTCAAAATAGACCTTGAAACTCTCCCAGGCTCCCTGTGCGGAGGACCGATCTCGGTGGCAGGTACTCTGCGACTCGGCGAATCGTGCCTTGGCTTCTTGCAGCTAGAAAGATGTGGTTTCTTCCTGTTCGGGTTCATTGTTTAGGGCTTAGGGGTTTAAGGGTTTAGGGTTTAGGAACTAGAGTTTTGGGTTTAAAGCAGTATCGTGTCCAGAAGACGCAAAAGGATACGTCCAGGACAGACCAAGACACACTTCATCGTGTCTTCGACTTCTTCCCCGGCAACCTTCTTCGAAAGGTACCAACATTATTCCTAAAGGGCTTCGGGCTCCTTGTTAAAATATAGTATAATATACCCAAACCCTAAACCCTAAACCCTAAACCCCTAAACCCTAAACCCTAAACCCTAAACCCTACCTCTAAACCCTGCTTGAACTTTCAAGTCCGGGGCGACCTTCTTCGGCGAAACCATGATCTGGCTTGTCTCCATCTGAGCGACTTGCTTGAGACACACGGCTCCAGGTCTACCCGGCGAGCATGTCCATGTGAATGTCAAAGCATTTGGGTTTAGGGTTTAGGGTTTAGGGTTTAGGGTTTAGGGTTTAGGGTTTAGGGTTTAGGGTTTAGGGTTTAGGCTTTAGGGTGCTAAACCCGAAGCTCTCCTTTACCGTAAAGTCCTAAAGCCAGAGAAGAAGATCGACCTAGTCTTTTCCGACATAAGTGTAGGCAGATTTGGTCGGTCCAGCATGCCAGAAATAAATAAAATACACACTACCTGTACATATATACATACACATACATACAGTGTATGTACATATATAGATATTTCGTCACAGGCGACGCAAACTCGAGCGATCCAAGCTCTAAGCTCCAACCCTACACCCTACAACCCTTCTAGATCCTTTACACCAACCTTTGTGGAACTCGATGCTTGCCTTCCCAACAAACCAAGAACTACACATCCTTGATCCCCAAAATAACTCGAAGCTCCTGTACCTGTCGATAAAGCACGCAAATACGTAGGATCACATACAGCATGGTTCTACATTGACGTAATGGCGCACGGTGGCTAGATGCCACTGCCTGTCCATGCTTGTAGAGCAAGGGCTTCTTTCCATGAAAGTTGCTGTACTCGGCTGTTTGGCCAGTGGTAACACTAAGATCTAATAAGTTCAGGCCTCTCTGTGATAACCCTGCAATGACCCTATGCAAACTCTCTGATATCCCGCATAGTAGCCCTGCAGCAAGCCTATGAGCCCTGTGCCAAACCTATAGCAACCATATTTTCCTAGACTGTTCTGGCAATAGACGTAGCTCACGGCTGTTGCTCGCCAAATGGATGCTGGCTGGATCAGCGAGATTAGGCTACCCATGAATACCCTATATTCGATGCAAGAGATACTTGACAAACCCTAAACCCTAACCCCTAAACCCTGAACCCTAAACCCCTATTTGCACTGGTGGCTTTTCACTTGTAGGGATGAAGGACTTAGAGCTCAGTCCCAAAGGATCTTCGGTCTGAGCGTTTCGTTCCGGGGTTTTTAGAGCGTTACAAGGACTTCAGACGCGTTTCAAAAGGGCTTCTGGCTCTAGTGTGCAGAAACTCCATGGAGCCCTTAAGGGTTTAGGGTTTAGGGTTTAGGGTTTAGGCTTTAGGGTTTAGGGTTTAGGGTTTAGGGTATGTATACCGTAGCTTTAAAATATTTCGGGGGCTCCTTATTATAACTATAGTATAAAGGGCCCCCAAAACCCCATTCTAATTATGAAGGCGCCTGCAGTGTCGAGGCCGCTATGCTCCCTAAGACCCTGCACGATGGAATACATTGAAAGCTTTGGAACAGTATTTAGAAGCCTGACGAATTACCAGGACTTAGGGGTTTAGGGTTTAGGGTTTAGGCTTTAGGGTTTAGGGTTTAGGGTTTAGGGGTATGTATACCGTAGCTTTAAAATATTTCGGGGGCTCCTTATTATAACTATAGTATAAAGGGCCCCAAAAACCCCATTCTAATTATGAAGGC